ACTCTACGCTATATCTTTGTCGACAATATAGCGGTGTGCAGAAAAGAAGTTTGGATATATCCCTAGATATCAGCTCTAGAGCCCTTTTTGTGCCTTGTTGTAATCACAGTTTGGACCTTGTCGTAAACTACGCTGCGTACAACAATTTATTCAGTGCAAACTTATTAGATATGTATATTAATTTGTTTTAATTTTAAGATCATAACTAGTGTTCAGCAACATAGTTGGTATCCAACGCGTTTAGTATATTAATTTATATTTTTTATAACATGTTGTTGACTAATGCTCACTTGTCTGGCCTATAATCAGCCCAAGCCCACGAAATTCCTCATGGCAAGGATCGCAAGATACGCCTGTCGTTGGCAACACCCTTGAGCAAATTACAAGTCACAGTACGATTAAGGCAGTTTCGGCCGCAATTTTGATGGAGAGCACCCTGGTGTGACGGGTTCGAGCGTCCCCTCATCCCTTAACACCAACCTTTCGAGAGGACTTTCGCCTCGCATATTTAAAATGCCCCCATGCCGCACGGACACTATACACTTACAAGCATCCATGTTTTCTCCGGGATTTTTTTTTTTTTTTTTTTTTTTTGTTTTTGTTTTTCATATTATTATGTTAATAATGCTTCAAGTGTTAACCATAAGTAATGTCCCTTTAATATTCACACTACATAAGGCGCTCGCTAGACATTTGCACGACGGCGCCGATTAGATATGGCGCGGGCCTGCTAACAGGTCGGATAAATCATGGAGGATATTTTACACTTTAACGGAGTGTAAATCGTTATTCTATGAAATAACGTATTTCACACTTTAACGGTGTATATATTGTTACGAATTTGGCATTTAAATAATTAATATTAGTTGAATTGTAAATTAAATGGTTTTATTTCCCGCGCAGTGCAGCGCGTGACGAATATTAAAAGAAAGCTAAGCCGGAAAATTGAAATACAAGAGCGCGTGCATTTAACATAATAATATCTCTTTTTTGATTTCGAGAAAGTACTAGAAAATTTGCGCGCGCTTAAAATCTTTAAAGAGGAAAACCTCTCAGTTGTGTAGTATTAGTTTGTTGTTGTTTAGAAATTGCTCTGGTTGACTGTGGCGATTCGCGGATTGCTTTCTTTAGCTGTTTTGATAAGTTCTTTAACGGAGTAGTTAAGATAACTCTGTGGATTTTGTAATACGCCCGAATATTTGAGGAATTTCATTTTTTGTTGTGATAATGATATTTTTGTTCAATTTCACGGACTTGTGCATTCAATTCAAACGAACCCGTACGCATGCAACAATATATTATAAAGTTGCGCGTATGCATATATATAAAGGTATATAAAGGAGAGAATGTGCGCTACGCTGTTATATAAAATTAAATATAGTATGCATTTATTCATGAATTATTGTAACAATTTTACAGTTTAGTATTGTGATATTTCCTTTATTATGCCTTTTAAAATAATAAAAGTTGAAACTGCTTTCTTAATAACCGAAAAAATACGCATTTAATATGTTTGCAAAGTAATGATATAAATCCGTAATTCATGCCATACATAATATGTTAGATAGTTTTTATTATTATTATTATTATTACATTTTTTATTAGTATCATTGATTATTTTATATTAATATGATTTTTATTAATATATTATTATATATGATTATTTTTATATTAATATTCGTTAAGGCTAATGATTAACATCATAGCCTTAACGACTAGGTGCGCGTCTTTATTACCGATACCTGAAGATTGTTTGTAATTCTCATTAGCGTAAGTCCTCACACTGTAGAAAGTGTAAATCTTATGAAATAGTTACGATAGTCGCTTAAGTCGTAACAAAAACAAGATGGAAGGGTACTAACTCTTTATTATTTAATAGCTTTAACATCTCCGTCTTGGAGTGTACAATAAAGCCGACACTTAACTTGAACTTAAGATACTAAGAATAATCTGAAACTAAGATTAATTAAAGAGATATAGCCGATGCTATCAAGATTCTAATCGAGTTGGCCTTTTAACCGGTTGACTACGAACCCTATCAAGGGCCTAGTACGGCCGTGCGTAATAACAGCTTTGAGAGAGAGTAGCCAAAAGGCAGACGCGCGCAAATGAGAAACTCTGATATTCTCTAACTCAGCAAGTAGACTTCGCGGTTTAAATACCGCTCCTCCTCATTAAGTACTGTAAAGGCCCTTATTTTCGCGAGGCTTTAATTTTCGTGAGCCCGTCGTAATCGCGAAAATTTAATCCTCGCAAAATACTTTTTTCTCCCACCTCAAATAATAATAAAAAATCAGAAATTTTTCGCTTTACTCAAAATTTTAATGATTTTTTGCACAGTACGAGCTTTTTCTTGACAACTTTTTTCTTATAACTATTTTTGAATATAATACAACATATTTCCGAAATAAAACAAAAATTATAGAAGGCAGCTCTTTACTTAGAATATTTATAACCAGCTTCTTGAAGCCATTCAAAATTATCTCATGTTTGGCTTCAATACCGTTAAATACGCGCACAAGCCAAGAAGCGTGAATCGGTTTTAGTCGTGATATTCGCAAGCCCACAGATTCTTTTTCCTCTAGAAATTGAAGCTCATTAGAATACCACTCAATAAACTCATTCTTGAGCAAACGCTTGAACTCGCTATTTACAGTTAAGTCCAAAAGTTGGGGCTCTCCGGGCACAAAAACTGGAATAATATTCCTCTTCTCTAGTTCAGTCAGAAAAAGAGGATTTTGCTGTGTCTTGAAAACGTCGAAAAATGCTACACCAGGTTGTTCTGGAACTAGCCCGAGAAGCTCTCTCTGCTTGTCGTAATAAGGTACAAGAATATTCTCGATGTATCGAATCATTGTGTCGGTATTACTCCAGTGCGAATCGGTTTGCCACACGTCCCAGTCCACGGGAAATGTAACCTTTGGATGACCATTTGTTGTTTTTCCAGCGAACAACAATTGTGGTGGAAGTAGGTTTCCAGCAAGGGAACATGCTAACAAAACAGTCATCTCTCTTTTATCTTCCATGCCGATTACAGACACTTGGTTTGAACCACGTTCTTCCGATGTGTAATTAGATGTTAACGAAAGTTAACGAACATCTCAGGAGGAACAACATTTTTGTCGATCACTGTACGAACACTCTTAACGAATTCGTCGCGAATAGCTGGGAAGTCTGGGGACTTTTGGAATTTTTCAACTTTCTCAACTTCACTTAGGTACTTTTGAAATTTTTCAACTTTCCGTTCTGTTCATATAAAATTTTCGAAGTATTCAACTTGCGAAATCACCGATGTACTCGTTTTCGCGAAAATTACGGCCCGCGAAAATAAGGGCCTTTACATTAATCAGAGTGATTCCAAAACTACGTTCTGGCCGGAAGTAGTAAGTTGAAGTTGAGAATTTGACAGGGAAAAAAAACCTTAACTTAAAATTTTACTGTTAATAAAATTAATATAATCCTTACATTGTAATAGGCAGAAGAACAGTATAACCGTAGGAGTCGCAAAAGGCCTATTATTCAGGCTGGCGTGGTACGCCTGTTATTTTTTTTTACTTTTTGTTTCTAAAAAAAGTCATTTTTTTAACCATACACCATTATCAGACATACGATCAGGAGTGCACTTCAAAATTAGGCAAATAAATAATGTTAATTTGACGTTTGTTTTAGTAAAACTGTATTGATTTCGAAAACGATCAGACTTTTTTTTTTTTTTTTTTTAAATTTTATTTTTGCTCCTGAAGAAGAGGTTTCTGTTTATTAAGAAAAGGTTTCGAATACAGTATTTTTTACAGCTTACTAAATCCCATGCAAATACATAATAACTTTTTTACTTCTTATGTAGGGATTCCAGAAATGGTCTACATTATGACCTACGTGTGACCTTCATGTTCTAACAATCCTATCTGATTTCCCATTTATCTTGAAATAAAAATACGAATAATAATTTTAGCGCTTTTCCAAAAATTTTAAAATTATCGAATATATTGAGTTAGAAACTTTCGACCTATCTGAAAAAAAATTAACATTAATCTTTAATAAATTTTAGCTGTATCATGTATGCTAACTTATCGAAAATTCCGCGCTATCGAAGTTCGAGCAGTCAATATTCTTATGTTTTGTTCTTTCTCCTGACATGAAGCCGATCCATTTAAAAAAGGAGAATATTACTTCCTATCAGCCATACCAATTATATAACTTATCGCCCTAGGTCATGTCCCTCACAGACCGTCTTTGTTAAAGATAGACGTGCAAAAAATTTACTTTTTCATAGGGGATACAATACTCATTTTATAACACTATTATATCATGCAGTGGAATACACGACTTAAAGCTGCGCTTAGAGTAGCAGACTCTCTAAATTGGGACTGAAAATATGAAATCCAGTTGTAGTCGGTTTAGTAAAAACGCAAAATTTTCAGTATTTGCAAAATTATCCATTTTAACCTACTTGGTTTGACTTACGCTGTAAATGAAATTTTATGAGAGTTCTCCTGATCACTGGAATATTGCTAAAACTCTAACACATAACAAAATAACAAAAAAAAAAAAAAAAAAAGCCTTATTTTTGACCGATTCAGGAAATGTTTCCGCTAGACATCTGTTTTTTGTCATCTTTTCCCAAGGACTTTTGAATTGACAAGCTATTGATAACAAGATATTCCGAAAAATCATCTAAAGCTTCATACAAAGAATGGAGGAAAAATCACACACTATCGTATCGAAAATCACTCCTCACGCCTCGCCTCTACCACACCCAATCATCAGACCATCTAGTCTCCCTTTCCAAGGACTTCTTAGCTGGTAAGGCATTCCAATTCAACCAATGCACTGAAAAAAGCGCTTGAACGTACGGTTATTCCCATGTAGACCTGTTCTCTTGAAGGCCTACCGAGTTACTTTTAATTAGTCAAGCAAACATTATACCTCGGGTGTGGCTTCCTGATATTTTAAAAGAAGTGCAAAAAAATGAAAAACAATTTTTACATTCGTAAATGTTCTACATTTAGATTCGCAAGGCAACCTTGAAATTGTGCAGTATAAATACGAGCGACACAAAATGATGATCATTAAGTTTCATCGAACTTAACACTAAACAGTTTGAACATGTTCGCTAAGGTGAGTATTCTTCGTATTCTCAGAAACGTTCTTTGCCTCTCATAGTTTTGCTAAACATATGAATGAGTTACTTGAACAATTTATTATTACTAAAGCTTTTATGATTGAATATTTTATCCTTCCAGAAGAACAGATAATATTTACAAAATTATGCTTAGAAACAAGCAAAGAAAAGTCAGTCAGCTTTAACGATTTAAAATGTCAATTTTAAAAATTCTATGATATTATTGTCGTCTTATATTGTTTGTTTTAGGTTTCTTTTCTTTAATAGCGGGCACTAGCTCTTTTAGGCTTTGAACACTACTAAGACTAGAAGCGATGGTCATTTTATTGTGGAGGCATTTAATAAACGGCCATCGTTACCTCCTGTGAAGGGACAGACAATTTACATCCATGCCTTCTCCGAGATTCGAACCTGGAGCAGGCATTCGGTGCGGTTGTCAGAGTCACGATCCACTTTCTCGTATGAGTGGTTTCTTTATAAATTCAGTGGATAAAAGTACTGATTAAAAGTAGCTTTTTTACTGGATTAAGTTCCCAACAGAATCCAGCTTTCTCGCTGTGTGAGGATTTTCATTCTCTTCCTTATGTGTAGCGTGAATAGAGTGATTTTCCCTTAAAACCTTCAACTCAAAGGCATCCCTCCAAAGACAAGCAGCCTTTGTGGACTTTGCTGTAATTAGTCAATCAACCAATTAATTCTTCCCTACAATAGTAACACAATATCAAAGTTTTTCTTAAAGTTGCATCAGTTCAAATTTATTGTTAACAGAAACCGAAACTTATTCTGTCAGTGTTTTAAGAGCCCATGATCAAGCGTATCTGTATTTAAAAATAAGGGAGAAAATATAACTAATCTTATACAATGCAAATTTTTAACATTTGAGGATTAAATAATGAAACAAATTTGTACATCTGTGGGCATGCGAAAACACAGAGAAGCGATATACTGGCGATTTTAAACTATTCGAAGATGGAAAGTTTTCTACCCGTCTATAAGAAAATACTATCAAACATTTTACTTTGCGTGTATTGTTACAAATCTCTATTGGCATAAAATCCTCTGTAAAATATTTTCATTTTTGGCCTATATATTTTTCGGCATATATATGATATGTTTTACTGCTTTACACTGCAGTGACGAAACTTGGCGTGATTGCCGTTTCTCATAGTTGCTGCCAGTTTTGCGTAATAGCAACTAATAAATTCGAAACACATAGGCACATAAATTTTTTATTGATTTTTCAAGCTATAAAATTGCGTTTCACTTAGTGTGATAAATTAAGCAATTTAAGGTAAAAGTCGTTTATTTGTAGTAATTTATAATCTTCATTTTTACGGTAAAAGGATTTATCTATTAACTTTACAGCTTTATCGTTAGTGCTCTGGCAGTATAACTTACATTACGTTACCTGAGCATTTAAATAACCCATCCGTCTTATCAACAGTGAATGCACCAAGAGATAAGAGATTTCTAACTCTGGAAAGATTTAGGAATTTAAAGCTGTAGTTATTTAAAAAGCTGAAAACTTTTAAAGGTAAAAAATGGCTGTTTTTCTTTATGAAGTGTTCTTTATCTTAAAAAGTATCTAAAGTCACTTCGTTTACTGAGAACATGAAATTGATAGGCATTTAGATAAATTTAAATAAAATGTTTCTGTAAGTACAATTTTTTTACATCACTGACAGGAATTGTTTTACATGTATCATTCCATTTTTGCATCCAAAAAGGAATATCTAATGTTCAAATACTTAAGTTTTTCCTGCCACACGATTCAGATATAGTTTTAACATTGTTAAATAACTGATTATTCCTTTAAGGAGCTAAACTGCCCTTTCCAGTTGCTATTTGAACTAAATGAGAAATTATATTAATTAAATGTTGCATTCATGTCACTAGCAGTTCAATGATTCATTTATTGTTTTACTAAATAATTCTACAAGTCTTAATCATTCTTTCAGATCGCCATTTTGTGCGCTGCTGTTGCAGCTGTTCACGCCAGTGCCCTCCTTCATGGACATGCCGCCCTAGTCAGCACTGGCGCCAGCGCAAGTTCTAGAGCTCAGGATGTAAGTACTCAGTTGATAACTAAATAAACAGAACCGAAAATATACTTGTTTGGCTCATCAAAAATATCCTTAACTTATAACACGAATTTTTATGCAGGTATTAACGAAGAAATTTATAACACAAATAGTTTATCGTACACAATAAGCGGGCCCACCAGCGGCCGAGCGGTAAAGTCGCTGAACACTGGTAGTTCGGTCCGAGATTCGAATCCCGAGAACGGGCTGGCTGCATGGGCGTTTTCGTGGTTTTCCCCATGTGTAACGTGTATACGAGCCAGCTCCCTTAGAAAGTCCTCCACGAAAGGCATCCCTCCCTTTAGGCAGATGGCCCTCAAGGCTTTGCCATAATCACACACACACACACACGTACACAAGAAGCGAACACATTTCATTTTTATTCCTACATTTATTATTTTAATTTGTATTCAGACGAATTAAACTCAATTAGGTCCGATTACAATTCATGCTTCATAGCACGTTATACTCACACATTTGGTGTAACCAGTACAATAGACTGCTTTCATAGTGAGAAATGAGGTCAGAAAGTGATCACCTAAATCAGGGTTCTTAAGCCTTTTTTCGTCGCGACCCCTTTTTATCAATGAGATTTTTTTGCGACCCCCAGGACCCCATAATATTTACAAAACTTTTGTGAGGCCCCATAAATATGGCACAAATCCGACACACGCGTAAGTGAAACTGTCAATTTTGTTCACTTGTACTGTTATATACTATTACTTGTACTGTTATATACTATTTATAGGTCATTAACTTTAATTTCTAATTTTAAAACATAGAACAATGTGAAAATTTTAAAAAAGTAACAGACGAAAAGCTTTCGTCACGTGCAAGGAAAGTGAACGCTTATATTATGAAAAGTATGGGACGAAACGTTTTCGTTTTTTTCTTTGTCTGTATTGCCTTATCTTTATCTATTTTGAAATACATTGTGTAAAAATATTTGGTAATTGTAAAATTATTTTAATAAGTTAAAGAAATATCAAAACTGTAAAACGTTTTGGCGACCGCTTGCTGCAGATCTTCTTAAACTGTGGGTCGCGACTCCAAAGGGGTCGCGACCCACAGTTTCAGAAATCCTGACCTAAATTATTATAAAAGCATTAATACTTCGATTTCTCAGTTTATCTATGTTCAATCTTATCTTTTATGCATTATACTTTTAATCTGTCTACCATCCCCTAAAGAAAAAGGTAACAGATTGGAGCTAATAAAATTAGAATTATTTAAAAATAAAACGCCTTGAATTTCTTTAAACTATACAAAATCATAAGCTATTTCATTGCAGGTCTAAAAATTGCTTTTCTGTTTTCACAGGCTATCGGAAACTATGCTTTCGGATACGATATCGTTGATGGACTTGGCGCAGCTAACTCCCGATCCGAAGTCGGCGATGCTCATGGTAACAAGAAGGGATCTTACACCATTGCTGACATTGATGGAAGAGCCAGGCGCGTTGACTATGTTGCTGATGGTCTTGGATTCCGTGCCACCGTCAAGACCAACGAACCTGGAACTGCTGCCAGTGCTCCAGCTGCTGTTCTCGTCGCCAGCCCCTACGCTGCTCCCGTCGCCCCTGTCGTTAACCACGTCGCTCCAGTGGCACATGCTGCTGTTGCAGCTCCCTTAGCTCATGGTCTGTTGGGCGCTGGTCATTTAGGCTACGGTCTTGCTGGGGCTCATGGTTTAGTCGCCCCTGGTCTTTATGGACATGGTCTTTTGACCCATGGAGCATTGGGACATGGCCTTGGACATTTAGCTCTTCATTAAATTAATTTTTTTATAGAAGGTAAGGATTTCGCTCTCATTTTTGTTAAACTGTATTATTAACAATATAATCCACTTTTATATCTTGAAGCTACTGCAATTTTTAGCTCAAATGTTTAGTAATGTAAAACATACTTTTAAAGTCGTTTTATATTTCAGAATTTATAATAAATTCACCTAATTTTAATATTTATTTTTAAAATTATTAAGCTACATTTGAACACCAAATTTTGATATATGAATTTTTGCATTTAGATAACGAATTATTTTAAAATCATTGTTATCTTCTACCCTCATTATTACAGCTGAGTTTTCTCATGATCAGCACCACAAACAAGTTTGATCAACAGGAATAAATAAATAATATGTAAAAGAAAGTCATAAAATTGCAACGCAATTTATTTTAGATACTAATAATTTATCATGAATTTTATAGATTACTTTAAATTTTCCAACTCATTATTACATAACAAAAGTCTGATAAGGCATTTTAATCACTCGTAACTGAAATAATATTACCTGGTAGGTTTTTTGCAGAATTTTGTTTTCAAATATTAAATGTTTCCTAAACTTAAATGCCCCTTATTTTTTCTTTCTAGGTCTCGGAATACATGGAACAAACAGAATACATTAAAATACGGAACATCAGAAGTCACTTTTCCTTAGTACAATGAAATACCTGTCTCTGACAACATCTGGGCAAGGGAATTACCAACAATCTTCAACTGAATATCCTCTCTGTATTTATGTTTGACTTCATGCGGGAAAAAACAAGATGTGTCATCTGCATTTATTTCTGATGTTTTGTATTTTATACTCTAGGCATTTTGGTGCATTGTAAATAAAGCTCTTTCATTCAAGAATTCGTTTTCTCTTTCAGCTTTTACTAGAATTTTAAATCTGGTCTAGTCAACGTAAATTGAAACTGATAATGCTTGAGATGTATATTATATAATAAAGTAGCAATCCCACACAATTTTTCAAAGATTTTGGTGATGAGAAAGTCAACAATTTTCTTACGGGAATGAATGGTTCCAGAAATTTTATTTAATTTAATATTATACAAACTAATATTTTGAGAAATTAATTAAAATGATTGTAAATTTGTAAAAAACTACAAATTCCATTCAAAATCAAGTTTTACTTCTTATCAGATAATAATCTATCAAATTTAAAAAATAACAAATAAAATAAACTGTTGTTGGAATTTCAAGTAAAGTTTTTTTGAGGAAATTAAATGTGCATTATAAAGTTAGAGTCAAAATATTAAAAAATGGATATTTCTTTGTAAGTAATTTTTTTCTAATAATTTTTTAGAGAACGTTTCTAATAATTGAGAACTAACTACACTAGATTAAAAAATTTGAATAACCTCTTTTAATCCATGTCGAAACAAGAAACCGTAATGCATAAAACACATATAATTTTTTAACTTTGAAGAATGCCATAGCTGAAAGCTATGGGAATGAAAATTTAAATTTTAATCACAATAGTCTAATTTTTGGTCATACATAAAACGGTATTTTCTAACTGACTGAAAATAAATAATAATAAATTGCTCTAATGCTTCCACTTTTGTCATTTAGAAAACCGTGCAGAAGTAGAAGTGTTCAGGTACACACAAAGCATAAATGGTGAAAGGTTTCAAGCATAACGTTTTGTTATTTATGCTTTTCTCTCTCTTCCTGTCTCTTTTTACTTCCTTGTACGAAGTAAAAAGGAAGTATTGTAATCTCGAAAAGTTTCAGGCAGTATATTTTAACGAACATACCCATTTTGACCGCTATCGAATGAAATTTAACGATGTTTTTGCTTGATATCTGTACGTAAGGACAGAATAAAAGACTCTTTTCCTCCAAACAAATTATAAAACTGCTTTAAAATGAATTCTGAAGAGAATTTTTCGTGGCGTCTGTACGAACGTATGTACGTAAGTACGTATCTCGCATAACTCAAAAACGATTAGACTCAGAACGTTAAAATTTTGTACATAAGACTGCTATAACATGTAGATGTGCACCTCCTGTTTTAGTTGCAATCGGCCATACCAAACGTATATAAATATATTTATATATATATCCACTTTGTTACCCGGGTCAGTGATCTCAGTTTCTTTACTCTTATATGTTTGTAAATTGTGCATTTTTTGCTTTAAAAATGATTGAATTATCAGACGAATTCCTGTATGAGGATATTCCAAGGGAAACTGTCTCGTACGTACCTCACACTTCTATCAGACGAATTCCTGTATGAGGAACAGCATTAGACATGCTAGACTTTTATGACACTCTATTTAAAAATGTATACCTAATTTTTTAAGCTTAATTTTCATTTTACTTGATAACTCAATTAAATCAGGGTGAAGATTTTAAATTTTATAAAGAAGCTTACCAGTATCGAATTCTGAGGTACATATCTCTTTCTGCACCTAAACTTTCTTTGAACACTTAGTTAATAAGGTCTGTTTATGTAAAATCATCAGTATTATTATACGATATTCTCTCTCTTTTCCACGTGTCATCGTAGTGCAACGATAGCACACTCGGCGCGTATTCGAGAAGTCCGGGTTCGAGTCCTGGGGAGGGCATAGCTCATTTTTTCACGCCTCCAGCATCAAACTAGCCTAATGACTCTACAGTGGCGCCCGAACTAAAAGGTGTAGATGATAATTCTTCACCACCAGGATTTGGCGATTGGGTCCCCTCATTCCCAGTCGCCCTTTAAAAAGGGGAGTATATAAAGTAATTTCTCCCTCCTTTCTGCAACCTTTCGTGGTGTAACGGTAGCATACCCGGCGCGTATTTGAGAGGTCCAGTTTCGAGTCCCAGCTATGGCATTGCTCATTTTTCACTTCACCAACATAACGTAACATAATGACTCTATATTATGCTAAAATTACTTATTATGCTATTTTCATTTAAATTTATTTTTTATGCATTTTTACTTAATATGACAATAGTGGAACACTTTTATGTGGAATACATTTCAATTATACATTTTTTGAAAATACTGTGACCCAAATATTTCAAGATTTCGGTTGTTTAAAGCCAGAATTTACATTATTTCCATTACCATTAAAAATGAACGTGAGTAACGCGCCAAAAAATCTGTAAATGGAGCTGATTAATTTACAGTGTGATATAAATCTTATTCAAATGTCTGAAGATAGAGATTTGTTTAACTTTCATTCTACTTGAAAAAACAAACACGCTCAGTTACAAATTTTTGCGCTAAGAATAATCTCTTTATTTGGGAATACATATGTGAACATATCTTTTTTTTCTGTCTGTATTTAGTAAGAAAAAACGTCAGTTGAGTGATGAGCGTCTACAATCCGTCATGAAGAAAATTTCTAGTAATTTTTCTTAAAGACTATAAACTTTATGATAATCAGCACGTTATCAAGTGTCAATCTGTAGTCAAAAACAAAGAAGTTGATAATCATTTGCAAAAAATAAAGAGATACGTTACATATGGATATAAGATAAAGAGACTAATTTATCCTAATTTATTCTCAAGTTTTGCCCGTTTGGAAAGTTTTTTTCTGAAAATTTAGAGCATTTTCATTATTCGTTTATTTTGAATTTAAGTTAAAGTAATTATTTAATGATCACTTAAACATATTAAAATTACTTAAAACAAATGTCAATCTGAAAATTTAATAATTAATGTTAATATGATTTACAGAGTGAAACAAAAAAAAAAGAAAAAAATTCTTGCAGGTCAAGAGAGAAGCGAAAAATTCAGTAAAATTATTATCAAAGCAAAAACTCTGTGTTGGGTGTAGATTTTAGACAAGACTTATCGATTTCGAGGGTAAACAGGTAGAGGTCCATCTTTATGAGGAGCAAAGAATCTTGGAACGAAGGGAAAGACACTGTTGTATTTATACTTAACTGGAGTAAAGCGAACGAGAAAGTAGCACCCCATGTGGGAAAAAATAAATGATAAAAATTGAAAAATTAATTTAATAGAATTTGAAAAGAGTTAAGAAGCCCTGGATTTGAATTAAAATCATTAAGTAAACACTGTAAATCATTGTGAATGTGAAAAGCTTCAATAAAATTTAATTCATCAATAGAAGGAGCTTTTTAGATAATTTTTGCAGACCGGAAGTCAAAATTATGATTCAATTTCCACTTATTATTAGTTATCGCAGACTTGTTAATTTCGCCTTTTGAGACGTAAGATTCGTGCTCCTTGTTGCTAAACTTTAACTATATTTTGTTTTGGTAGATAGATCTCAAACCGCACTGACAAGATATGCTATAAATTCCCTAAGAATTGCCATGTCAAATGAAATCAGAAATGGAATCTTAAATGAAATGGCTCGATTCTAAAACCTATGCCAGCGACAATGCTATCGCTTTCCTAATTTTATGTCTTGCAGACATCTAACTTTATATTTCATGTAGAAAATAAATACAAATGCTAATTTTCTCATTACTATTATTGCTTATGTATTTCTGATGAATATTTACTAAGCGAAGTTTGAAATTTAGTTAAAACGTTTCTTATTTAGTTGAAAAAAAAATAATTTTATTAAAAAAATTAAGGCACGTCGTTTTTTTTTTTTTTTTTTTTTTTTTTTTTTTTTCATGTTATGCATTTGATCCGCATGCAGTTTGTGTCTGAAACCACTGCCTTAAGAAGCAACGTTGTTGGAAAGCTCCACCGTGTCCACAAAATTACTTACACGGAATTCATTTTCACAGCTGTTAGCCGTAAACATATACAGAGTGAATCTGAATAAGAGGGCAAAACGGGTGTACTCCAACTGCGCTAATGAAACTCCCCCCCTGGGTCGAGCTATAATCCAACTGCGCCAATCAAAATTTTTTCCCCCTGCTGCCTACAGGGTTACAATTTAACTTTTCGAAGCCAGTTGTAGCCAAGAGGAAAATAAAAATAAAGAAATAGAATTACATATCACAAGAACATGTAAAAAATATCTAAACAAGCAGGCTCTTACTTTGAATAACAGTAATAAATGCGAGAGCT